GGTGCGGAGTCTCGCGCGTCTTGCTGTTACGATTTTTGAGTGACCGATAGCATAGTATTCGCGTTATTCTCGGATTTGTCGAAAAAAGAATACCTACCACGCAGTTTGCAGAGGGCTGTACATTTGAACCGTATTCTGAAGACGGTGCCGGCAATTTGAGCAGCCCAGCTGCGCCAAATAATCGCTCTCCTGTCTACACAGTAGTTACACGGTCTGTATCCGATCACCTGGCGACTTCTTACCGCATCCGCCGTTCCGAATTTATCGTAATTGCTCTCAGTAGTTCCCTGACAGCTCGGCACACCATTTATCCCATCAGCACGGGTGGTGTCTGCGCGCGTGCCCGCACCGTCTCGCTCTCCCGTCCTCGCACCTGACCGTTTACTGGTCGTGCCGCCGGCTGGCCAGTCGGCAGGCGCCTGTCTTCTATTTTCCATGTCCCCGAGATCATGTTACCCAGCGATTATTAGCGGCGCCAGGAGGGTTTCCAGGGGCAAAGCGGCCGTGAAATTGGGAGTGTGGGGTTTCAGTGATCCTCGCCGGGGCGCCAGCTGAAATTATCCGTCCTGATGGACATGGCTGACGCGGTAACAAGGGGACGAAGGGGGAGAGAGGGTGATGATGTGCTCTGTTGTGACGGACACAAATGGTTGGTCGGTTTATCGGTACGGGGATGCAGTGTGATGTAAAGGTGGATGAACTTGCGCGGATGGCTGTGTGTAATGTTTTGATGAGACAAGTGTCAAGTATTGCTGATGAAGTCCTGTGGCCTTCAATGACGATACATACCAGATGTTCTACAATGCTGGGGTTTTGGATGTATGCTTTTTATATACGAATACGTGAAATATGATTCATTGGTGTGCCACGTAATCGCCTATTTCTAGCTTTAATTGTGAATAGTCGTGGAACTCCATAAAAAAATTGTTATTTTATGCGATAAGTGATCCATGATGACGAATATTCACTAAAGATGGACTAGCCCAAAAATATCTTGCTATCGCTTGAAAACTACAGGGTGTCTCAAAAGTTCGTTTACACATTTCCCATGTCAATAAAGCATATAAGAACCGGCCAAAAATCTAAGTTTTTTGTGTCCGTGTGTACACTAGACAAATATGCATGCTTTGACAACTGATTCGGAAGGTTGGAAACCAAACCCTTTGCTGTATCTCCAAAAATATTTGCCCATACCGATTTTCGTCACTCCGTCAGCTACCGGAGGCTGATAAAATTTTACCAGCTTTCAAGCTCTTGTAGGGGAATCCCCTGCAGTTTCTGCGTCGGATTTAGGTTTGACGAAATCCCCGGCAACATCCGCTTCTCCCTGAAAGCCGACAGCTTGCATCGACACCATCCGTGAGCATTTTGTAGGTCTTCTCTGGCGCTAACTCCTTCATGAATGACTGGCGCCCACTTCCCAAGCACCATTTTCCTTTTCAAAACAACCCCATTCCTGAACAAATGGGAAGTGCCAGGGGCAAATTTTTCGCAGCATATCGTAGCAGAATGTGTCGGCCATCTGTTTCTTAGACACATTTTGCAAATTTTGCAAATCCCGAACGCTCGTCATTCCCAATGCCAAGACCTTCGCTGGGTTCCGGAGTGTTTTCCTCAGGAGAGGTTCTGCTTTGTAAACGGCCAAAACCTGTCCATCGTGCGGTTTTGTCCGGATTTTGTGTGTAAAAGAAAGCTATTTGCTCCAGATCTGCCTCTTGAAACTTCGTTAGATAAAACTTTACATTAATTGACACTTTTGGAGGGTCATTTGTCCTCGGCATTGACGATTTTCGCATTATTTTCCCTCAAAATTTAGCGTTATAGATATTATAAACAATTTTAAATGATATTTTGTCTTTATTTTATGATGACCTGCAATTTTTGAAACTGGGTAACCTCTGTCTGTGAGCTTCTAGTCAGTTTTCAATAGTTAGGACTGCATTTTCAGCTGCTTTCCGGAGCACGAGTCTGCTGCGGTACAAGGGTCGTTCAAAGCGCTGTTAGTCTCGCATGGTTTTGTCCTTCAAAAATTTTAGCCACCGTTTTTATTAGATGACCATCATGTTGTACTCATCCTCGCCGACACTTTGCCATGTGTCATTTCCGACCTAACCATTCCCATCACTCGTGAAGCAGAGAGTTTCTCAGCCGACCCGAGTATGCGACCTCCATTTTCATGCCTGATCCATGGTCAGAGGTGAACCCTTTTTGTGAGCTCATGAAGGGTCGAATGCGCTTGAAAACAATGAAGCTGCTTGAGGAAGGTTGTTACCAATGCCCATGCAAAATTTCGACTGTTAATTTCTTGTTGATTCAGAATTATTGACAAAAAAGCATGGCTGGTACCTGTAAGCGAACTTTTGAGACACCCTGTAGGTACCACACTTTCACCGTGCCCTCGTGCCAATGTTAACGCATACCAAACAGTACGCCCACGTCTCTTAATACTTCCACAAATGGCAAGGCGCACATACTAACTGCCCAGTCGCCGTACCATTTTGTGGTGCATCGATTAGGGAAACAGCGCTCGCTCTAAAACGTCTGGCCACCCACGTCATCCTTATTGACCCTGACCGAGTCAAGGTCATCGCTGACGGGGCAACTGCACTTCAATAACTTACCCCTATGACGTAAAGTGCCTGCCGAACTACCGTCCGGGGTCGATTTTCGCGTAGGAGGTGTCAGTGACCCATGACTACTGACTGTCATTGCCCGTGACCCCATCCATCTAGCTGAATGTTTAAACAGAGTGGGAGGTGTTCGTAGTTCAAGGTCTTGAGACACATTAGAGGTTCGACCGCTCTTTCCCTGAATGAAGCGCCCAGTGGACACTTTGGTAATCACATTGCTTTGCGAATGGCCGAGGACCATTGCAATGACGTTAGTGAGCACGGTATGACGTAACGAATGTGTTTGCTCGATGCTCAATGAAGTGGCCTACGTCACAGACTCTACATATGACGTTATAGGTATAGTCGGGCTCTTGGAGTGGAAGGTGCGACGAACACGGTAAAAGACATCGACCGTTGTCTATACATGCTTATAATGGGGAGGTTCATTCACCATCGACGTCGTCACCCACTCAAAGACAACAGTAGAGGTTAATGTTGACTACGTGGGCGCTGGACATGACGTCATTCTAAACAAGCATCCCAAATATGGGATTAAAAAAGATCATGTCTAACGTGGACCTTTAAATTCGTATTTTAAAGGCACCACTAAAAGCAAAGTATTTGGACGCACGTTTAGATAGTCCACCGCAAAATGATGAGTAAAATATGCAATGAGTCGCTTTACTGCTGAATCAACACTTCTCAACAATTACAGACCAGTTTCTATCCATTCCGCAGACGCATTATATCATATTAAATCATGGCTATTGTTGCGAATATTTGTTTTGCATCATTCCGCAACTGCATCATATACTCAGAGTCGAGTCGTATTCGTATGCATACCTATCCTCATCAATTTGCTATTGGAGCATTTGAATACAGGGAAATTGTCGCAGTTGCCTCCTTGTAAGCACATTGCCATCTTTGTTTGCTGAGTTTGACCGAATGACAGTTGTTCTCCGGGTTTCACCATATCCGCCCAAAGTTTGTATTTCACGAGAACTTACAAGTTACATGTAACTGTATAAGACATGTATATTGTATAACCGTACCTTGTGAATGAGGTTGCTGTCACCAGAAACGTCAATGTAGCTCGAAGGTAATGAAGGAAAATGTCTAGTAAAACACAGCATAGTTTGATATTGCCCCTGATCGATGACTACCTGACTCGAAATGACATGATGATATCATGGATGAGATAAGATATTAAGTACATGATTTACAGGAGTTTATTTGTGTTCCAAATTTATGTGCCCCTCGTTATTTATCTACCTTTAAATTTGTGAACGTCTCCGTTTTACACTTAAATGTCTGCGTGTTCTTTTTATTGTTTTGCTTCGTTGAAGCTCATAACTTACTAGAGGATGCTCTCGGCAAACCATCGATAAACCATCTTCCTCTTCCGCATATCTTTTTAAACGACTTCCCGCCGTTCGACTTTCATCTCGCCGCCAATCCGTTCTGGCACACGACAGGCGTATGAGGGTGTCCGCTTCTCTGTTTGTTTTCCATTAGAGGGGATTCCGGAACGATTTCTGCCGCATTGCTGACTGACGCCGCACCAACGCAGGCTCATAGAAGAGCCATGGGTGCTGTTTGTCTTCCGGATGTCAGTGACACTGAGAAGTGTCACCGCTGTCGCCTGTGTCACTGAGCTGACTCTGAGTCGTGTGTCAATAGCCGTCAATCTGCACCGTTGTCGAGAAGTTGAGTCATAAGCAGTGAGTGTTCGGACTGGGAGAGTGCCAGGTGACAATGAGACCGACCGTGACTACCAGCATGACCAATGTGTCTCGCTAAGTGTCAACAAACATTGATGACATGTCAACGTCGGCATCCGACGGAGGCATGAGTCAAAACAGCCGTCTCAAATCATCAGAGCGCTTATCAATGTCGGCGGCTCGCCTGGCATTATCGGAAGGCAAATACCAGCATTTTGCAACTGTGCAGTGAGCCTGCCATCTCTCCTGCGAACCTCTCATCAAACACTGTGCAGCGAGCACCTCGGAAGTACAGGTGGAGTTCCCGACATCACACGCGCCGCGCTGTTGACACTGAGCACACTGTCCTCTCAGAGAACCCCGGGCTGCCCACACTCGCACATCGGCACACACCTGCTGGTCTAATCTCTCAAGCGCGCGCGCCTTCCCTTCGTCCGTCGATCTCTTCCCCATTAGCAGCTCGTGCCCGGCCACCCCGCCACCCCCGAACAAACAGCGCCGCTAGCAACTGGAGCGGAAACGCGCCACAATCGCCTCCCGCTCGCGCCACAATCGCCGCCGCTCGCGCCGGCCCCGCAATCGGCGCGCTGGCCACCTGATAGTCGACAAAGTAAACCGGCCGCGCCTGATCTGAGTAACTGCGAATCGGCAGCGATAGCGGCGGGCTGTTGAGCGGAGCTGCGCGGCCGTCACCGCGCCAGTCGCTCCGTGACGGTCCGTGACACCGTGACGCCGCGTCGGTGACGCTTCGGTGACGCTTCGTGCGTGAGAAAGGCAACCCGCGAGCGTACTCGGCGCCTTTTCGTGAGCTCGGTGTCCGGCACCGAGCCGCGCGAGTGCGATGCGCGCCGCGGAGGCTGCGCGCCAGCAGCGCTCGCGGCGCTGCGCGGGCCTGCTGGTGCTGGTAGTGGTGCTGGTGACGGTGGCGGTGGTTCTGGCAGTGGTGCTGACCCTCGGGAGCGGAGGGCAGTGTGAGCGGTCGGCGGCGGTCAGCTCTGGAGATACACTGGACGCCGACCTCGCCACCTGTCCTCCGAGACAATCCGGTACAGCGCCGAACACTTCGGAATAAATCGACCTGCCCTTAGTCAAACACAAATATGGTCCACCCATAAGAGCGACATATGCATACATGCATAAATTTTCTACGCCTTGTCATAGTAATTTTGGTCAACGATTTATAGTGTGAACAATTATATCGGCCACATTTACGCCTCATTATCTAAATACATTCATTATGCCAGTATCTGCGTGTCGTATTTTCCGGCTTGTCACAGTCCCTCGCCATTTTCGTACAATCATTTGCGACTGGATCGATCCTCCAACATACCCAATAACGGTACAGTTGGCCTGCGCCGGTTCTCGGAAAGGTCACAATAAATGTGCTTTGGTGCAATGCAAAGATGCTGAACGGTGATGGGCTTAATTTTGGTAAATATTTGCTTCAACTTTTTTACTTTTTATTATCTAAATGTAAACTTATTTGATGACCTATGTGAATCCATGCATTTCAAAGACAATGCGACATTGTCTCGTAAACTGATCGCAACGCTCTGTTTACCTACCTCATCGGCGACGTTTGGCAGAGATTCACGAACTTGATGCGATGCATCAGGACTGTTCCTCGGAGCTTGACCCCGCCCGAGCCGTGGTTATGGTCGCACTGTGCCTCATTGTTGCACCCTCTCTGCTTTACCCATCCACTTGTCGCTCATACAAACTGCTCTGTTGAGAAGCCCGGGTGAACTGAAGTCACGTTTGTTCTCTCTCTGTTGCAGTGGTAGGCGGTGGCATCAGCACCGAGACACGAATCCAGGTGGACCTCATCGAGGGTCTGCAGCTGTTCAACACCACCTACCCGGGGGTGAACATCATCCCCGGGCCGCACAGCTTCACACCGGCGCTCAGCCTGTCAGGTGGGTCAGACTAGTCTGAGACAGACTGGCCAGAGGAGTCTGTGTCGTTAGTCCCGGGCGCTCAGCCTGTCAGGTAGGTTAGACTAGTCGGGGACAGACTGGTCAGAGGAGTCTGTGTCGTTAGTCCCGGGCGTTCAGCCTGTCAGGTGGGTCAGACTAGTCTGGGACAGACTCAGACTGTCTGTCTGTCCCAAGCGCTCAGCCTGTCAGGTGGGTTAGCCAAGTCGCCAGTAGTCGGGACAGACTGGTCAGAGGAGTCTATGTCGTTAGTCCCGGGCACTCAGTCTGTCAGGTGGGTGAGCCAAGTCTGGTTCAAACTGGTCATGAACCTGCACGATCATTACAGGTGGCTCATATCTCCATCGATCCGGATACCAGGAAGCCTCCCCTCCACTGTCCTCTAATCCAATCTCCTGGAGTCATCGGAGATGAATCGTGTTGCCGTCCCGTCGTCGTACCTACTTTCTTTCAGAGACGGTGATGTGATTGACTTCACCATTCCCTGGGGCAGACGTCGCGCGGGTCAACAAGCTAGGGTAGACTCTCCACTCTTGACCTTGCCCTGTCCGTAACTTGCAGAACTTTGCCAATATCGTAAAGTTTGGCCCAAACAGGCTGCCGCTTTCATTGTGGAAATTTGTCTCATCTCGGGGGACATGTTCCCACTTGTTTCACGGCACAACACATACATTTCCTGCGAAGCGGTGACCGCCGCCAATCAACTCCCTCCCCTATGGCACTCTGACGGGATAACAGCCACCCATCTGTCCCACAGACCCAATCTGGCTGTCAGGGCCCGCCGATGACGTCATTGGCCCAAAAATCGATCCAGCAACCACGCTGTTCGTCATTTCCGGCACAGCCGGAAGCAGCCCTTGTTCATGATTCATTGCCGTATCAGACAAATTTGCGAGAGACGCGATATAGCGCAGGGCGTCTATCAGTGCCGAGAGACAAGGAGACACTTGGTGATATCAGGGTCTCCTCTTGACCTCTGGCTGGTCTGAGAGGGACCGGTGATTCATCCCGCGCTGAGCGGGAGGGAGCGTAGTAGGGGCACGGGTAATTTGTTTGGAACTTGCTGTGGTGTCGAGAAGACTGATGGTTGCGATGTGCGATCTCTGCGCGAAGGCAGCCGAACGTTTGACATAATGATGATGAATATGCGTGACTAGGGATGCCTGTAAATTCATTACACTTCCCCGTTTTACCCTAACATACTATGAATCCCATCTAAATTGATCAAAGTATTAGCATAATCATCATTTAGCATTCATTTTGTGCAGATAACTTCTCATGACTAATTAATCTTCTCTGTTTTTGCTATTTCATTACACTGAAACATAACCCTATCTTGAATCAATGATAAGATTTTTTATTAAACTTGTAAATCCTATTTTATGTATTGATATATTGATGAATTATGGCCCAAGTGTAATTCCTAGGCCCTAGCCTGAGCCTCCCCAAAGTTGGATATAGTATTCCACTCCACCAGTCAGATCAGCTGACGTCATTCAGCATGGGACGGCTCCTCCCCCCAGCCACTGCATTGTACTGCTAAGCGTCGCCGTAATAGCCTGGCTACATTGATTTCCGCAGAGGGTCGCCACCGCGATATCCATGGGTAGTGTGGCACGCACAGTCACGTGATATGAGGAACGATATGGACAGGATGACGTCAACGTCTAACTTCCACGTCATCGTGCTGCTTCTGCAGCTGGTCGCTTCATTCCGCATTTTTATCGTGCCCTCTCCTATCCCGACTGCCTTTATTTATGTACCGTTTGTTCAAGGAAAATAATGGTCTCATCTTTCTCTTAGTCCCACAGCCAAGGACTCAGGCAAGACAACGAGTCTAATACGGCCCAGTCCGAACTTCAAAATGGCCAGGAAGACGTGAAGGGATCGAATAAAAAAATCGCACCTCATAAGTGACTGCAAATTTCATTCCCCGTGCGTGGATGCCGAGTGCCGACCTGGGGACATATCTTGGGACATATCCTTGTCCCAGTTAGTACGTTTAGCTGTCGCGGTGAGATCCGGTGTTTTGTGGGCCCCACTTATTGACATTCCTTCACCGATAGTAGCCTCGCCACGGTGCATACCATGTTGGCCCCCTCCCACGGGCTCTGGGTGCCGAGCTGCACCTACTAGCTGTAGCCGTAGGCATCAGGACGATCCGTGCAACCCTGGCTCTTAGTCCAGATATCTTGTACTGTTGGCAATTTAAGTAATTGGCTGAAAAACTTCAATAAAATTGTTTCGCCAAGCAACATATCGCGCGTCGTCACGGCATGCCTTGCCTCATTTCATCGCGTCTCCGCGTATTCAATTCATACTGCGGCTCATCCATAAATGCCACCTACACCACCTGAGACCGCGCTCTCGAAGCTGGGAGGCGACCCTCCCCCCCTCAGCCCCCCCCCCGGCCTGACCCGACCGTGACCTCAGGCGCTGCTCAGGAACCCTTCCCGGGCGCCCGGGCTGGCGACAGAGCAGGTTTTTACCATGCTAATTAATCAGGGGCGGGCGCGGTGCCATTGATCCCGTGATGAGACTGCCTGAGGCAATTAGCTACCGCGAGCGACGGCGGCGGCGCGGCGGGCGGCGGCGGTGGCGGGGGCGGGGCGTGTGGGGAGGGGGAGGGGGTGGACAGTGACGCTGAGGGACTAGACTTGGCCGCCGGCTGACAGCAGCAGGGGCGTGGCGGTCCGAAGCCTACCCGATGACCTGGAAAGCGGTCCAGATATCGGCGGCCAGTGCCAGGCCGGTCACAGCTCACCTCAGCTGGGGAGCACGGAAAGAAAATGATGACCTGGGACGGGAAAACACTGTAAATCGGCAATGATGAGGTGCGAATTATCCACCTCTGGGAGTCTAAAATGAGATGATCGCCAAACGAAAAGCATCGAGTGAAGATGTTGTTCTTTTTTTAAGAGCACTCTTAAAGAATTACAAACATTCAAAACAACTCATCACATTTCTGCAACTCTTGTAGTGGAACTGATTCGTATTTCACGCCACAGTGGCTGTCATTCTGTTAATGTTGCAATCCGGCGAATAGCCATCAGGCTGGCCCGTCCAAACTAATTTCATTTAGCCAGACGTCTGGGTGGCTGTCAGTTCCAACTTTACTGTGATAGCGGGGCGAGGTCACTTGGTTCAGGCGTGTTGTTCCCTGTATCGTTGGGTCCAGCACTTCATCTTCTATAAGGTGGCACATCTACTCACTAGCTCTGTTGACCCTGGGTGTTACCAGTGGCCTCAGTTGACCTCTGTGACCTCTACTAAAGCTCCATGACCCCTGGTGGTCTGTTGGGACCTTACGGTAGGGTATCTCTTCAATCACACGCGGATCACAGGTGACAACCGGTGAAGTTCGTCACTTCCTGACCTTAGCTAATCAAGTCTGGATCAGGTCACCTCCACCTTTACTGTCACAGCAGTGATGCAGTCCTGAGGGACACCATGCGTGGATATTTTAGTAATGTTATTTGTTAGTCGACTTAGACCAAACTGACCGCGGTTCCAGACTGAAGCCTTTCTGTGGGTTCTGAAAATCGTCCGTGGCGTGGCGCTTCTTCTTCGGCTTTCTGTCATGCATTTTATATAATTCACGTCCCTGAGCTTATTCTTGACGCTTCAAATGTATCGTCATGTTCCTTGGGCTACCTTACTGCTGACCTTCGATTGGTGACCCATGACCTCTGGCCTCAGGTGACACGCGGCAAGTGCGGCTGTGTGTTTTGTCTCATGACCTTTGACCTCTGACCCCAGGTGACACGCGGCAAGTGCGGCTGCCTGACGCCGTGTTGGAGAGGGCCGTCTCTCTGCTGACCACGTCAGCCGAGTTTACCATTTTGGCCAGCGTCCGGCAGCAGCCGCAGAACGCCGGCACCATCGTCGCCTTCTCGTTCGACGCCAACAGGTCAGTGGGGGTCGCTCCCGTCTCTTTCGACACCAACTTGCAAGCATGCCAGTCGCATAATGCCTACACAGTATTGACACAACTCATTTAGAGCTCTGCTCACCATCCGCGCCACCCACGCCGTAGTCAGAGGATCAATACGCGGACACGCATACCGCACAATGGACAGCGCATCCAAGGCCGAACCGTTTATGGTTTACCCATGGTCATGTTGGGTGCATAATAGGCATTCCTTTTATAAGGTGTCACGACAAGGGAATTGTAAGAAGCTGTTCGGCCAAAATGGCTTGCGCTTTTGGGGTAAGGTCTTTTTTAGTGATGCCAAGTTGGAGCTGAGTTTTGCGAGCTCCGACAAAGTTGAATATTATGGAAATTGACTGCTTGGTGTGAAAATATTTCCTCAGTTTGGAGAATTGCTTTATTTCGAGTAAAAATATTTGCATACTTCAGATCCTGACTGAATACATTTGAATATTATGGAATCGCTGCTGTATCTAAGAATAAACACCTTTTCTCTTCGAATATATATCGCAGCGTCTTCTACTGTCCTCGAGCCCTCGGTTTGCATAGCAACGGCCATGTTTACACTAGCTTACTACGGCTCTCCCGTGGGGACGGGGGTGTTTACTACGGACTCAGTTTATCATCAGTGCGCTCGAGTGAAGAACCGTCTCCCTGCGCATAAAACGCCGCAACGCAGCCGGTCGACGCGCCGTTAAAAAACGATCGTCGACAATTTACGAGTCTAGCTGTCGGGCGGCGGAGGTTCCCCTTGCTGGGGTGACGAGAACGCCTCACCTCACGCGGCTGGTAATGGGCCATCGGCTCGCGCCGTTACGGGCAGCGATTTGCGTCACTAGGGCTGATAATCAGCACGGTGGATGATTCATGTGATGGTAATGGCACAGTGCATCTGCGAATCGGCAGTTAGCTACTGTGCAATGTTGGTGTTTATCGTTTGTTCAATTTGAACTAACGATTGCACAGTGGGGATTTTTCCGATCTAGCGCCTATTAATTCAAAAAATATTTTTTGGATTTTTGTTTATTTTTTTGTGTCAGTAGGGCTAAGCAATGTCTGAATTTTTCATATATGGCATTGTTTTATCTGTATGTCCACAGCAAAACTAGGAAAAATGCGCCCAAAGTTCACACTCATGCGTGATTACTCAATGGGCTCAGCAAGGCCCGAAAGTATAGCTCAATTTCATTGTCCTGTCCTGTTGGTTTTAATCTTGCGAGGTCTTAAAGTTGCATATCGTCTGAAAGGCACCTTTATTAGGAATGGAATGGCAAGCAGAAAGTATGCCACAACCTTACTAAGGTCACAAAAATGCCCTTTACAAAAAACCCTTACAGACACCATATTGAAGGAATGGTATTCTAAATAAATGTAGGAAATCAACAATGTTCTCCACACTTTTCCACTCCGAAATATATCCTATCGAATTCGCCACTTTCTTCTGCACAAGACAACGCCTAGTTTGGCTGCCGAAACTTGCCTGAACACGGAATATTCACATTAGAGTATCTTAACACCCCACTCGAGGAGCGCTAGGGCAAACAGCACGATATAGGTATATGTTCCGGACATAGGCGAATAATTTTACTTCGTGATTTATATGATGCATATTTTCTGAGACACATTCATTAGGAATAGGATGACAAGCGTAAATTATACATACCGTAACCTTATTAACCATCGCACTTGTGGGGAGGGGGAGGGGGAAGGGGTCGGATAAAACCCCATGGTTTTCCGCAAATTACTCGCGCAAAAAGCGGCCGATCGCGCCGAAACTTTCGGTACCCTCGAGATCATAAATTTTACATTTAACCTAAAAATTTCATGACTCTGACCCAACTGACCTTTGACCTGTGGTATATTTCTCGAGACCATGTTTGGCCGGAATCGCGATTCGGCGTATGCCAGCTCACATTATCCGCGGTTTCCAGTCTTTTTGTGGTTTTAAACGTTCAAATATGTGAAATGATGTTGGTGCCATGCATAATGGTGGGAGTCAAGGTCACGTGAAGGTCAAGTTAAGGTCATTGACCTTTTGATGACCTTGGTTCACTTTTTCGAGTTTTACTTGTTTCTAGGGTAGTTTTTGGTGCTGATTTCGATTTTAGCAGCCATTTGAATATTTACGAAGTAGTTCTAGTGCCTTCGTTCCATGTTACGAAGCTATCAGTAGTAGGTGACACTTCTACGGATGGCCGGCAGGACGCCTACTAATTGATCTAACCTGACCTGACCCGACCTGGCCTAAATGCATAAAGACATCGTCTGTGATCAAAACTAACACGAAATTCGTGATCAGCACCCCAAAATACCCCGTAACACCCTAACTTTACGAAGTTTCAAGTGGTCTCGATTTCCCAACTTTAGTTGGGTCATTAAACTGACTTGGAAAGTCAGCTTATGACCTTGGACTTTGAAATTGGATATATTCGGCCTAATTTCGTCATAGGCAGCACGCTTGACTTTTCCGCGAAGCACTAGCTTGATCAGGGGCCAAACGGCTGAGCGGGGGGTCCAATTGAACCCCCTATACTATGTTGATTATGCACATTTACAGGTAAAATTCTCACTAGGACACACCAGCCAACATCTGTGCACAATCTGGCTACAATGCTACCTATGGTTTGCCCTCTACGAATAAATACGTGCTAGATCGGAAAAATCCCCACTGTGGATTGGTTGAAATTTAAACAACAGTCACAGCTCCGCTCAGATTTTGGAAGGAAATATTTCCTGAACGCTTATGAAATGAATGAATGTTTGAATAAGAAGTTAATTTACGATTTAGTATGTTCTGATGTTGCCTTGTACACAAAATGTGTCCACCAAGCTTATTTATTCGGTCTCTCGCTCATCACGAATAAATTGCGCAAAATGGGTTTGCGAACCGTTTTTGACGGGTCATCATCTCTGCCGGGTCGGTGTCCGCTCTTCACGTGTCCTTTGACTCACCACCAGTCAGCTGACACGGCTGCAAGCTGTTAGACCATCTGTTCGGCCAGCGACGCGCGGCAGGGAAATGTGGCGCGGGGCACACCTGTGCCGGCTGCCGGCTGCGGCGACGAATGGCGCAAGAGGTGTTTATAGGGTTCGGCTGAATTTGTCATATCTGCACGAGATCTAATCGGTTCACGCCTCTAGTTGGTGCGGTCGGGATTTGGTGTGGCAGCTGTTGAAACTAGGGGTCAAAATTGGTCAGTAACCGTCCGGAGAACATGTGTGCCCGACCCGTGGAACCAGAGAATATTAATGGTCAGAACGGTTACTTGGATGACCAGGTGACGTGGTGAGGATTTTCAATATGCCTACACGGAAACCTAAACGAGATAAGTCTTTTTGCCTTTGAAATATGTAATCCACATACAGGAATATCCTCAAAGGCTCTTCCAAATGCCGTCTCGTCTCCCATGACCGCACTGTATATACTGCATCCCATCAGCTGATTGGCTGATAGCAAGCCCTGGTATGCCATGAAGTGAACAGCATGGGCCATGCCAGTCGACCCCGTGCCCTCTGCCCAGTAACAGCCAACTGGGCACCAGACAGGCCGTCCACCGCCCCAGGGCATTACGTGACCCGGCTGGCCATGCCGCGGGCAGCTGGCGCACAAACCGCCTGGGGGCAGTCTGCGGTGGCGACCGGCCGCGGCGGGGGAGGGGAGGGGAGGGGATTATACGCTGACTGAGTCGGAATTCGGCCCCCGAATCGCCCGTATCCGGGGCGCACGGAACAAAGGGTTGGGTGGGAGCAGGGTGGCCCGATACGGCGCACCCTCGGCCACCCAGCTTCTCTCGGCCGTGGGGAGACGGGCCGGACTGGATCACTATTCACAAGAGGAAGGGAGGGCTATTTGAGACTTTGGCCCCAAATACATAACCCAGTAAATGCGTATCACGGAAGGATTTTCCTATTCGCTCAGAATTGTAATTCGTTTGTAATACACATTTACTCTGTTCATGTATCCTCTGCCTTATCTCACACAAATGTTACGCACTGCAGTGATATGATGTTGTTCCGTCCCACCCCGGCAGGTTTCTGGAGGTGCAGTCGTCGGGTCGTACCGATGAGATCCGGTTTCACTACACCAGACGGCGCCAGGATCCGGACAGAGGAGGCGGTCCGCCCGACGTGCACATGGAGTCGTTCCGCTACAGACTGGCCGACGACCACTGGCACAGGTCAGTCAGACATGGGAGAGGGAACTACTGGGCCGAAATACAGCTCTGGTACAGGTCAGTCAGCATGAGGAGAGGGGAGAGACTGGGAAACACAGCTCTGGCACAAGTTAGTGGTCACGGAGCGGTAACAGCTTCGACACATGGTAGTTGAACATAAACATTAACGATACATGAACTGGTCAGGTCAGAGCTGACCGTTTTAACGCATTTTTAATATTAATTCATTAATACTACGGTTGCATTGGCTGCTCTACACATGCTAGCTCATTTCCCCTTTCTTCCCAATTCTCTCCCACCTTTCTGAGCCTCCACGCCAGATATAATGCCGCAGGTCTTCCGTCTTTCCGCCTTTTATTCTGCCGAGGCTCACACACTGACAAATGAGAACGAATCAAGCGGCTCCTCTGTCAGTCAAGTTGTCAGATGGACGAAAATGTTAACGAGTAGCTCTACTGGCGATGATGGCTTTCTGAGTTTGTGAAAAGCGCTTTATGATGGACGTTATGTAAGACGTTATAACGCCTAATTGCAACACCCAGCTCGGCAGTGAAACCGTGCCTATTTTGAATGAGTCTTTTATTTTCACTACTTACTTTCAAGTCATTCTGAATATACCATTGGTCTGAGAATGGTACTCGATTTGCTACCCGACCTGACGCCTCGAGCTGCGACTGTGGGTTGTTGCATGTTTGTTCCAGAAACGGGCCCCGAGTCCTCATTTAATGAAATTGAATCAACACGCCGTTTTAATCGTCATCAAAGTCGGGCAAATAAATGTCATCAGATACGGTTATGCGCTGACGAAATTGAACCCTTTCATGCTCAAATTAAAGCTTCTGAAAACACGGTGCACCGGAAACCGTCTGCCTGGAGCATTTGCCTTTGGGCACGGCTTTTCCAGGCTTAGTATGCACCTGGATGAGATGAATTACAGTAATTATTTGTTTATGAGATGTAAAGTTGCTATATCATTTCTAAAGAGAAAAGTCTGTTGTTGACTATTTTCGTTTTTCCAATCAGCAGCGTCTTTTTCTCAGTAGCCTCGCCAGGCCATCCTTTCCGGTCCGTCTGCTGTTCGACAACTGACAGACTGTGTCGTCTGTTCTGCGACTGTTCCGTCAGCCGGCTGCTGGTGCGTGTCCGCCAATCCGATCCTCAGTGTTTGCGCTTTGTGGAGCTCAGCGGTCGATGGTCGACAGGCACTGTCCCCAGCGCTATTGCGGTAACCAAGCCACGCTAACGGAGCCGCCAACACACACGGCTATCGCGAAAGCCGCCACCGCTGCACTGGGCCGGCTGATTTCGGCGATTTGAAGGCGAATTGCAAACATCAAACCACTGCTATGCTCTATGACAGGCGCTGTTGGTGTTTTGGGCGATGATAAGACACAAGTGCTCGTTTTGATCTATACTGACTGCGCATTTTGAGGCTTATCTTATCGTATTTCGAGTTGTGGATTCAAAACATAAAACACGGCACGCTCAAGACACCATTAACCATAATTCAAAGAGTAAGGTGTACCTACATTTAGCGCCTCGTGGCGCTTTGTCCAAAACAGGAGCTTGTTTCTTTTCACTATTTTTCATGTAGAACACGAAAGCATCAACTGCTTCACGCAATCAGGACATATAGGAACCTAAAGCTGGAGCAGCCTCTACAGTCAAGATCACATAAAACAACCCGTCCTTTCCTGTGAAACACTTTGTTATGAGTGCAAAGAAAGCACGTGCAATCAACGTGTGCCCACATGACGGGAATCCCACAATTCGAAGTGACATGTCATTGCAATTCACCACGACATCAATGCCTGTTGGCTGCCTGTCATGGAAAGGCCGGTTTCGTTTGATGGTAGTTACGTATGTTCCTATGGCGTCACTTGCACAAGCATATCACATACCACCTGCGACGGTTCAATGGTAGTTCAAAGTCACGCAATGTTTGCTCTGAAGTCTGAAATCCTGAGATGTCACAGACACTGTCATCCTTACGGTGCGGTACAACGGTAGACTTTAGGTACTGTGACAATAATGTGACAATAATGATGTGTAGTGCTGTTACAACAGAAGTACAAATACATGCATATCAACAGCTTAGCAACAGCCACCAGCTGCCGCCGGTTGGCAGCTGTTGGCGGCAGCTCAGCTGGCGGTGGCAGCTGTCCAGATCGAGGTGATCGTGCGTGACAAACGCGACCGGAACGCTGACAGTCACGTGACCATACCAGCCTAATTGGCCGTGTTACGGTCGCCGCAGGGACCTCAACAGCGGCAACATATCAGCAATAACGTGCGCTCCCCAGTGTCCTGTGTCCGCCGCCACTTGGTGACGTGACCTTGTCCGTGTCCGCGTGTCCGACCACGCGCCGGACACGTGGCGGGACTGTCCGCGAGTGTCTGACGCGTCCTGTGTCCGCAGGCTGGCAGTGTCCGTATCCGGACACCAGCTGGACCTGTACGTGGACTGCCACCACGTGCACTCTCGCGTCATCCACACCCCGGAGAGGAATGCTACCGCTCTGGAGATGCCGCTGCAACTGTGGCTCGGCCAGAGGAACGAGCGACACTTTCGGTTCCAGGTGAGTTCGTCTCCGGCGCTCGGCGCTCGGACGGTGGTCAACATAACCATCCGGTGAAATGGAAAGCAATCAAGTCGCCACGGTCATTGCCATTGGTCTTTTAACCGCGCACATTTCACTATAGCCGCAGTGAAGTCCGTCTGCAACATTTTCCCATACAGCACAGCTGTCACTGAGTGTCACCGCTGTCACTTCTGACTTCTCACCGTCACAAACGTTCGTGACAGACCGTGATCGTCGTCCTTCGTGCGCTAACGATTCGTGACACCCATCGACACCGTCCCGCCTCCCGTGTCGCCGGGAATAAGGGCTGCATGATGGAGGACCCGTGAGGCCCGTGGGCGTCCGGACCTCGTGTGTCATGCCACTGTCTGTCTCGGTGTCGCTCCATCCTCAGAACTGGCGTACGGAACACATTACAAAAATACACATCTGTCCGTGCTGATCTTAGACTAGAGCCGTCATTATGCGAGATAAGACGATGCAGATCCGTTTATGCATGACACTAGGGCCTGAAATATGTTTCAGACGTTTGGGATTGGCAGTGGGAAATTTGAAGCGTCTTTTGAAGTCTGGATTTAAAATCATGCGACTTCTTCTGTAAAAAAAAGAAGAGTCAAAATTTCCACGGTTAATTTATCTCACTTTCACGACTTATGGTTGATTGAACTACCGCTAGCCTTACGCTAGTAATCATTGCTGTTCCAATATCGATGATGTGCCAACCACTTAAACACTAGGCTTTCATTGGATATTTTCTTGCAATCATTGCTGCTACAACCCATCAACGTGCATGCTACATGCAACGCAAATAGCGAGACCATGACCTTTCCAGTTCATCCATCACACCACCTGCATGGCATTTCCAATATATATGCCAGCCACGCCTCTCCTCTCCTTCTACTCTCTCCACCCATCATCTCTCTCATCTCCGTCTTCCTCCTGCATCCTGGAGGCATGTAAGTCAGGGCGGCGGGTCTCATTTCGGGCTGCAGTCGGTAGTTATGAACGGAACGGCGTTATGAGCCGGCGGCAGCGGCAGCGGCGGCGGCAGCCCGGACTCGGCCATCGATCTCCCGGTCTGGCCTCAGACGGTCGATGGGGACGTCCCGAGTCGGAGTCCCGGGTTTGAGTCGGGCTCAGGGTGGAGTCACGAGTCGGAGTTTTGCTTGGGATTGACTCAGAGTCAAAGTCCAGCTCGCGGTAACGACTCTTGAGACGGAGTCCCGCTCGGGACTGTACGGTTTGGAGTTCAGCACAATGCTGCCATAAATTCGAAATCGTATTTATATGTAGGTGCGAGGCAGGGCTGACAGCAGGCTTGAAAAAGAGGGAAGGGTCACAATAAGATTTTAAGGAGGATTAAAAAGGATGAATTAGATAAACGATGAGAATTCACAATTTACTACAAACTAGCTAAAGAGCCGAAAAACGATCAAAATCTCCTTTGCGGTTTTACAATCTTCAAAGCATTTGATGCACCAATGCATTTAAGCCGTAGGTATATGGCGGTTCTCAGCTCTCGAGTTCCATTTATCGCAGCTCCGGCCCGTCTGTTGGCCTATTTTTCTCGACCGACTACCGTAGATCCCCATCGGACCACGGACGTCCGGTACCGGCCCCGTACGGTCTCCGGTCCGACTCCAGACCGTTCCGGTCCTGTCCGGCTCCTCCACCCCTCTCTCTGCACCTCTCCACCCCTCTACCCCTCCCAGCAGAGATCCTGGTGATAGCACGTATGGTCCAACGGAGGGTGGAAGGGGGCAGCGGGCTCAGCTAATTATCTGTCGATACTGCAGACAAAACAGATCATTAGCGCAGCTTCGCGCTGCGTCACTTTCGGCGGCGGTGCGCCAAGCTCCCCGCGCCGTCTCCTCGAGCAATTACACCTCGTTAGGTGTGCGTCGGAGACGTCAGTTTGACGGATGGTGTGTGTTGACGGTCTGTCACATTTAATGGCGGAGGGATTTGGACTGCCGATAGGGATACGAGGAATGGCAAATTGGTTTCGGTTGAAAGGGTAAGTTGAACGTCGATTTCGAATTTGTTGTCAGATTTCGAAGCAACAGCGGACGCCGGAATTATATTGACAGTTTAAATGCACCAGCCCAAGTTTGGAGTATTTTTCATAAAGCTATCTCAGCTTCTGCGATGAGGCGCGACTATTGGGGATTCAGTTTTGGACAGATGCGATCCATCTTCGCCGGCTATTTCGGGAGCCTGAGACGGCTGCGAGCCCAGACGAGATCGGACCGCCGCGACCGCCGCCGAGGGGCAGACGGGCCTGGCGGGGGCCCAGCACTGGACTGCGGACCCGATCAACTCGGACCACGATGTCACTTCAGCTCGTTCGGCGCTCCAGCTTACCTATCGTTACTTCTCACCAGGCCCAGTAAAACGTTGGGTTTGCTCTTCCAGCTCTCTTTACACAGCCATTTCAACCTAACGAGCCCCATCATTTTCACTCTCATTTTGTCGGCCCTTCTAATACAATTTATCTACCATTGCTGTTCAGAACATTAATCCGTTGTAATTTGAAATTCAAGTAATTTTAATTCGGAACTCGCTACGCTGCTTTCAACGCTACCAGCAACCGATAGCGGCAATTCATTACCATAACTTGGCAGAACTATTGGGGTATAAGTGATAATTACCGGTTCATTGGAGTTCGTAGTTATTAGATAAAATCACAAGATCAGACCCCAATTTTCTGTGCCTGGAGACCTATCTATCTTATACGTGTCCCGTACAATACGGAATTGGAGTTATGTGTTATGCGTTCTCTCGCGCTTCCGCCCCCGCACATATGTGATAGGTGCTTATCAAAGACGGAGGGGAGTGGCGCGGAGACGCATTTCTCCATTATGGATGTCGTTAGAAACAATTTGCGGAATTCCGGAATCAGTGGTCCATGCGACCCCCACCAAACACGATTTGGCAGCACTGTAAGGACGCCTGCTGGGCGTGAAGTTTTCCCTTCACCATAGGGTTTACACACAAACTGGTCAAAGTTTGAGCCAGGATATACTAGTCTAAAAATGCAAAAAACGAACAAATTTTGGCATCAATAGATTCAGCATTTCATCGTGTGCCTCAAACCGTCCATCATTTGGCCTCAAAGGAGGTAAAAATTGTTCAAAATCGAAGTTGAAAAGATGCTTTCTGAGCACATAATCTGGTAGCAATCACGTGACCTGCTATAAGCAGCTTATCGATAATTTACAAACATAATTATTAATATGCTGCTTTAAACAACATTAATCATACATTTTGAGCTTTTAGTACTTTAAATAAGGTCAAAACATCGCAAAACACAAAAGTTAATACAATAGTCACGTGGGTGTCAGGAAATGTCACAGGTGCGTCAAATTTGTGACTGGGGCTTTACTTTCAAACATCGGATCTACCTGTTTCTTATAGGTATCTTGGGTCCATGCGTATGAAATGATGCTACTGTGGTGTGATATGTGTGTCTTGTTTATTCGTCTCAAATTGAGTCATGTTCATGGCATACTGTTGTCTTGTATTATTCGACTGATTTCTGGTATATTTTAGACATAGTGCCCACCAAAAAGATAAGACAGGGGTCCGTGGCTCGATCCAAACTAACTAAGTTATCCGGTGAGGCACATTTCACTAAGAAATAAACGCTGTGATAGCAAGGTCTCAGTGCAATAGGCCTTTGTTGAAAAATGCGTGCATCTTCCGACTTCCGTGTACCTTTAAAATAACAGGGCAATAGTAACTCACCCCGAGTAAATATTTATTAGCATCTCCTCCCGTTCCAATCAGAATGCGCGCTGGTGACCACAGTAATACAGCCGGCATACTCCAGTGACATATCACGTAGCGCAAATGCACTTGCAGCTGTCTTTTTTACCGCCGTCAGTAAGTGCCGGCCATGAGTGCCTGGCCACCGGATCTGTCTATCATTTGATGGGTGACGGCAGTCGCGGCCCCACCCGAGCTGACCGGCTGTCTGTCTCTCTGCCCCGGCCCCCCTAGCCGGAGATTGTTGTGACCAAAACTGTATGGGGAGGGAAAATGTGTCCGGAGGGAAACAGGCGAGTATCAACTGTATTGAAGCAATATATTTGCTTAGGTGACAATGGCAGGTGAGATTGATGACTTGACAGTTTTTCTTTATAGTGTCAGCAAACAAATATGTCAAAAACAGGTAAAAACTCAATTGTTCGGACATCTATTTTCATCTATTGCTATCATTACACATTCATTAGACAGCATATACGAGTGCCAGAAACGCTAACCATAATTCACCTTACCAGTAGCGTTACCATCCCAATTTCCTCCCATCAGCGTGTCTGCAAAACGATCAACACAGCACCGTTTTTCCGTCGCTTTTTCGCTGGTCGAATTGATTACTCGGCTCTGGGATGACACGATGAGGGCTTTTCTCGCTGATCTCACCGGCAAAAACCATGCTACATATGGCCGTGCGAGGCACGCGTCTGCCTCGCCAAGGACGGAAAAACAGTGCACCGCTCTTATTTTCCAGCGGTACGGAAAGTGATGGCGATGACGATAGCAATGACGATAGCAATGGATCATGGCAAATAGCCTCCGATAGACCTCCTGTTGCCGCTGGATGTTTGATATTCGGAAAGGAGGTCGCTCCGTGATCTGAGTTCGGCGAAGAGCTCTGAGACATCGCTCCAGTTCGCCGAACTAAATGTCATAGTGTCATGTAGAGCCAATGGAGCGAGATGAGTGGCGAGAGAAGCACCCATCGGCTGTCAGAAGATTAGTTTAGGCTGGGGCTTTTGGGAGGGAGATCCCCCAAAGCCGCCATAAGCAGTCGCGCCATCGACACCAGAGCCTAGCATTAGCGTGATGACCCTGAGCGCGATCCCTTCATGGCGATAGAATTCCGACGGAAATTCGAGATTATATGGGGCCAGAAAAAAATGTAACAAAATTTGACTAGAAAACAGCATGAATGACGAAAACTTTGGCTCGGCATCAGGAGTGCAAAATGTACA